CGGTACGAAGCGACGAGGAGATGCGTGGGCAGGAAGGAAACGGGGAAGTGACAACAGAGGTGGCAGATGAGGGCTACAGGCAGGAAGAGGACAATATTGTATCACAGTGGTGGCTGGAGAACTGTGCCAGTAAGGATTGCAGCAATGGGAGCCTACTGTTTAGTGTGGGATCTACAGCAGACCCACGAGTAGATGGAGCCGGGCACCAATGTGGGGCTCTCTAGATAACAGACATTCGAGAGGCGTTATTAGCTAGACAGAAGATGCTCAAAGCGTAAGGCGCAGCGACTGTCAGGAGAGGGATATTGGCAAGAAGCAAGTGATATGGTGCCACAGTGGTGACTGCCGCTCTATTATCCGAACTACTGCGGAAATATAGGAAAAGGGCACCACTGTAGGGGCGAGCTAGAGGTCCTCTGCGGTGCAGGCAGGTGGGGTATTGGGCGAGAAGTTGCAGCAGTGTTCGAAGTCTTCCTTCAAAGGAAGGCGGAGGAAGTGCCCGTGCTCTCGCACGCTTACTACTACTACACTCGCTGTCAGGTTGCACAACGGTGCAGCTGCCACACATACAGATGAGGAAGGAATTGCATTTTTAGAGCAGTTTCTGTACCTAATGGATTACTAGAACCATTTAACTGTAAGTAGAAAATATGTAATACTGCAGCGAGTACTTTTAGAGACGAGCTGCAATGTAGGCAAAGACTTAAAGCAAGAGTTGCCCCAAAGTAGCTGGCCTCCTTCCCCGGTCCCTAGGCATCCTGGGCGTTGAGCTCAGGGCCTGGGTGTTGCGGGGAGGAGGCAGCCAGAAATGGGATTGCACCGCACCCGGCTGCGGGTAGTAGTGCAAGCCAGCCCCACGCGTGCAGGTAAGGAAGCTTCAGGAAAGCAAAAGGCGCACGTCGTGGGCAGATGGCCATGTTGAACTTGGTGGGCTGCTGTTGGAGCGGCAGCTCCTGGCGCTGCTACGTCTCGGGCGGCGGCTCCGGATGCTGCTGTTACGGCTGCTGCTGTTCTCCTCACCGATGCCGTCCCGGTGATGAAACGAGGGGGGAACTGGTAAAATGGGCCCAACATGTAACGGTATCGAGTGCAAGAGAAGGGGGAGGGCAATCAGCGCGTCGGTTGCCGCATCTGACTCAAACGGTGAGTCATGATGCGGCGTGCACCCCGCCACCACGACGGTGCCTCAGCACCAGCTGAATACGCTGGCTCGCAATGGCAGGCAGCCGAAACGTGAAGTACAAGCGAAGGAAAAAGCAGAGAAAGAGGAATGGCCTGGCGAACAAAGCGAAACTGCTGCGATGCCGGCCCGACCAGGTCCTCAGCTGGTGGCTAGCGGAAGTGGCGGCTGACGCCGCTCCCGGCGCTGCCGCTCGGCCGAGACGGGGGGAAAGCAGCTGCTTTACGATGATTGCTGCTTTGATTACAAGTCATTGGTTGGAATTTCGGTTGCTACCTCCTGTCCCGCCGCGCCGGGTCGCTGCCGACTGGGCTCCCGAGTAGGCCCCAACAAAGCCCCAAAGGTGGTGCCCAGCCCCACTATGCAAAGGTACAGCTGGTCGTCTGTGCCCCCCCGCGACCTAGCGAGCAGTGTGGGGGAGGAAAGATACAAATAGGGAGGCAACGTAGTTAGCCTCCAGGGGCATCAGGGACATCCGGGTAGAAAAATAGAAAATTTTGCAGGGACCTGACAAGGGATCCACTAACATCTAGCCGCCCGTTACCCACTCCGGCGACCTGCCTGCATGCATACGCTAGGTGTAGTTGGTGCGAGGTCAAGGAGAGCGCTTTGCTGTTCGGTGGGGATCGCTTCCCGTAATTGATCCTACGAAGCCCACTCGGGATCACGTGTGCCCGGCCATTTGACGTAATATTCGCGCTTCCGATGGCTGCGGCGGGCGTTAATCCGCACTTCGAGAATCTCTGTGTCCTCGAGGCGGGGAAGCTCGCGAGGTCGTTGCTGCGGTTTCCTCGCTAGAGTGCGAGGGAACCGCGGGGATTCCCGAGACTGTTTTAAGGAGCCCACGTTAATAATGTGGTGACATCTCCACGTTGAGGGTATATCGATGATGTACGCCAACGCGTTGACCCGATAGTGGACCGCAAACGGTTCAACCCATCGTCTGGCGAACTTTTTGGGTTGCTCGCCCTCCTGCGCGCTACGGAGGGCGTGCGAATCCACCAGAACCAAGTCGCCCGGGTTGAAGCTGACTGCGGAACGTCGTTTATCATAGTTTCTGGCTTGACGTTCCGGCTTGACGTTCCTGTGCTTTGCGCATGCATTCCCTCGCTGCTGCAAGCTGTGTGCCGAAGTCGGAAGCCAAAGTCGGTCGGGGCTGGCTTCCAACCGCTAGGTCGAGCGGCGGATCGGCGAGTGGAGTTTCGGTGTAGACCAGGGACGCCGGAGAGCAGCGAGTGGAAGAATGCACAGTAGTGTTATAAACCCATTCTGCACAAGCAAGAAAGTCAAGCCAGTTAGATGTGTTCTGTTGGATGTAAAGTTGCAAATACTGCACCAGCGTGTGGTTAGTCCGTTCGGTCTGGCCGTCGGCCTCCGGATGGTTGGCGGTGGTCATGTTGTGGTCGATACCGAGCCGTTGCATGAGGCTGCGCCAAGAGGCGCTGACGAACTTCGGATCCCTGTCTGTAGTGATTCTTTTTGGGAAGCCATGGAGCTTCCACACATGATTAATGAATAGTTGGGCCACTCCTTCCGCTGCGACCGTGCTCGAGCAGGGAATAAAGTGAGCATATTTGCTAAGCCGATCCACCACAACATATATACTATCATGCCCTCTGACGGGTGGTAAGCCCACTATGAAATCCATGGAGATATCCGTCCAGATCCTATCGAGAATAGGCAGGCTGAGCAGGAATCCGGGTTTGAGCGTGTTTCGCGGCTTTTGCTGCTGGCAGTCCGGACAAGAGAGGACGTATTCCTCGATCGAGGGGCGCATCCTAGGCCACCAGAAGGATCTGGCGACACGCTCCACCGTTGTATTGACCCCGCCATGACCTGCCAAGGCATGGTCATGCATTTCCGTAAAAGTTCCGTGCGAAGCGAGGCCGGAACGTACAATCTACGAACACTACGCTTCGTGTAATACCACTGGAGATCGCCGTCGGTGCTGTAGTGCTTGACCCGTCGCCCGTGGTTGAGCTTAGCTAGGACTGCAGCCGCATGAGTATCTAAGGAATAAGAGGAACGCAATTTGGAAAGAAAGCGAGAATCATCACAAGGAAGGGCGGTTGCAGAGCAGTCTGCCTGACCTGTAGGGGGTCTGGAGAGTGCGTCGGCGACCACGTTGGTGATGCCCTTGATATACTTGACGGTGAAGTCATACTGCGTGAGCCGGGAAAGCCACCGAACAACTCTTTCGTTGTCATAGTCTTGAAAACTCTTCGTCAAGTGTGTCAATGATTGGTGATCGGTCTGAACCGTAAAGTGCCTGCCGTACAGGTAGTGTCGGCACTTTTTAACGCCCCACCAGACCGCGTAAAGCTCCTTTTCCCTGACCGGATACTTTTGCTCCCTTTCTGTGAAGCGGTGCGAGTAGCAAGCGATTATTTGGTGCTTTTTCGAACCAATAGCCTGATGAGAGAGCATAACCCCGACTGCAGCGTCACTGGCATCGGTCGTAAGGAAAAAGGGTTTATCAAAATCAGGGAGCGCGAGTACTGGGGATGATGTCAGGTGCCCGATTAGGCGTCGGGCGGCTTCATCCTCGTTCTCTGTCCAAATAAACTGCTTTTCCTTCTTGAGGAGATCAGTTAGAGGGGCAGCAATGCGAGCGAACCCCGGAATGAAATTGCGATAGTATGAGGCGAGCCCGAGGAACTTCTGAACGTCCGTCCGCGTGTACAGCGGTAGCGGCCACCGCTGAATCGCCTCGATCTTAGCCGGATCTGGTTGGACTCCTGCTGCAAAAACACGAAAGCCTAAGAAACTGATTGTTTGCATGAAAAACGAACACTTCTGCTCTTTCACGAACCACTGCTTCTCACGTAGCAGT